GTTAATCAAACTAGAAAATCATAGAATATTCATGAGAAGTTACCCTTTAGACCATAACTATCATTTTATTTGTAGCAATTGTTTACCGCGCTTCAATTGGATTAATTACTGAAACTAACGTTTAATCAAAATAGGAGCATAAACTTCAAGTATAATCTAATTATCTATTGAATTCATGAGAATCAACAGTATTATAGAGTGAATTAACTCAAGCATTGGATCCCGAGTCAATTATCTTGCACATGTCTAGTCAATTACCCTTATTTCTCTCATATATATTTTGTCGTTGCTCATCTGCTGTCTTTTGTGATCAATTATTAATTGCTTAATTTTTAGTAGTTAATCGTAGTAGTATTCATCAAATCAAGTGTTAATTTCCTGGATAGTAATCAACTGAAGATTATTCGAACATTATTTAAATCTAATCCATGTGGAGTATTCGAACACTATTTAAATCCAATCCACGTGGAGACGATAATTAAACTATACTATCTTTGACTAGCGAGCAATATATTTGTGTTATATTTTGTGCTTGTCAATCATATAAGTGAAGCTCAAGTGAAGGGATTACCTCTTTTCCTCTTTCTGGTGTCCTTGAAGATTCAATACATTTCCTATGAATTTTGATCCATGGATGTTGTTAAAACTAATATTAAATGGTGTTATGCAACCACAAATGCATCTTAAACACTTACCTTTGTATTGATGAGGGGTGTGCTCCTCCTTCTCTCTAGAATCAAGACCTAGCTCAAAAGTGAAACTTTATTCTCTCTCCCCGAATTGTCCATTTTTATAATTTTGATGACATGCATAGCTACGCCCTCTTGCAATATAGCTACGCTCACTTCTCTTTAGCTCCCCTTACTTTGACAAGCTTGCTGGAATCATCTAAGCTTAAGGTAGCGTAGCTACGCACAACTCGAGTAGCTACGTGTCTAATGTGCTACTACCTTTTAGTAAAAAGATCATAACTTCTTATAGGAATATTCAAATGACGAACGCTTTGAAGCATTGAAAACTAGACTCATAGACCTTTAATTTGACCGTACACCACATAAATCTTCATATATTGGGAGTTATGCTCGTCCAATGTTGGTTCTTGTGCAAACACATTTGAAACTTTAGCCCATTATACAATTTCCAAATTGACTTAGCCTTAGGGTTCTTCTTAGACCATAAATCATTATTAATATACCTCATACACATATTACCATGATCAATTGATATCCTTCATATTATTAGTCATGTTCATTCCCGAATTAATATAATTAGCACATATCAATCTTCTTAATGGTCTTAAAACACTTCAAATTTTTCTGGGGTGTTACACCAGCAGCAAATGTGGAAGCAATGGTAGGGTCAACAAACACCATAAGAACATTCTGGATGAGTTGATCCTGACGGAATCAAAGTGTATAAGCAGGGTTTGGGGTTGTATAGGTGCCAAAAGTAGTGATCGGTATAGGAATCTAGGTAGACCCGTCAAGGTGACCATAGAGGTCATGGTTGTGCATAAGCATAGAGAACTGAGCTTTCCAAGTGGCAAAATTGTGACTGCCACTGGAGCCGTCAAAATGGGCTTGGCCACAACCCAGCCCGCTACTTGAGTAGTGTTGGGATATGATTTTTTGAGCCCATTTAAAATTGAGACTTATAAGCCCGGCCCAAGTCAGCCCACTGGCCCTTGAGGCTTGACCGAGGCTGGACCTGGGCCGGCCCGTGGGCCAAAAGTTAATTAAATTCAAATTAACTAACTATTAAATAATTAATATTTTAAAAAAGTAAAAACTAAAAAACTATTAACTGTAATTCCTATTCCCAATCTTAGACTGCTCATTTACTTTTCCATATCAACTAGAATTTAGATTTTTGACATGCATGTAATGTGACAAAATTAATTTTTCTTTTGCTTAATTAATAATGAACTCGAAAAGTTTTAGGTGGCCAATAATAATCTTTTTTTCAAAAAAAAATATTACTTTAAGTGACCAATGATTAGTTTGGATTACTTTAATATATTATTAATATTTAAACTGCTCTTCAGTATAGTAAAAGATCAGTTTTAAATACAAAAACAAATTGACCACTAGCAAATTTCATGAATTTTAAAAATTTTATGGACTATAATGATGAAATCAGCAAATGGTGTTAATCCTATATTAAAAAACCTCAGTATATAAACTTATTGAAGCAATCCTCGAATCTGAGAAAAATGAAACAAAAATATTAAGAAAATATTCATGTAACTTTAAAAAAGAAGAGCTAGAGATTTAGAGAATTTACATTTCAATTACGAAATTTCTCGTCAAATATCAAGCTGTGCTAAGGTTGGGCTGACCCGTTTTGACATCTCTAACTGCCACTAAGTTTGATAGGTAGTTGGGAAGCAGGGTTGAATTGGACGATGGTTGTGGTACCGGTAGTGTTGTCGGCATTGACAACTCTTGGAGTGTTTTCATCTTTCGTCATTGGAGGGTTTGGTGTGAAAAAAAAAATTGGATCATGCTCGTTAGAGTTGTATAGGCTCTAATACTATATAAACAGTCAAGAATATGATGGAAAATTGTATCTATATTGAATGCCAAGCTCAGTTTAAATACAAGTCTTCCTAACAGTACTCCTTGAATTAGGAGACTTATTTAAATCAAAACACTATCAAGAACTAACTAACTAAATGATAAATATGAACTAAAAGAATAACTCTAAATCTATATCTAATCTAAGGATAAGCATGAAGGCTAAGAACTAATCCAAATGAATAAACAATTGGTAACAAGTGTTGTTCCAATAGATTCTCCAATAGAACTTGTGTTTTCAGATAAAGCAAGGTGACAACATAGCAGAAGGGATCATTGTACTTGAAGAACAATTTCGCCCTTAAGCGAGGGAAATTGAATCTTTAATTTAAAGTTGCATGCAATATTTTGCTACATACAATTTTCTATATAAACTTATGATTAATCATGCTCATTATGCATCTAATACTGAACTTGATACAATATTTGCATATTTTTATATATATAAAATGAGCGGAGCTAGTCATGCAGTTGCAGGTTTGACCGAATCCAGTAATTTTGGTCCAAATATTGTATTCGTCTTAAGAAATCTATTGAATTATACACAAATTGCCAATTTAGAACTCAATAACTTAAAAAAATAGAATCTGAACCCAAAGGCTTCAAATAGTGACTCTCTCTCTCTCTCTCAAATAGTAATAACCTTAATCTTTTTTATTGAAATTTTATGAATCTCCAAATACTAATGTTATATGAGATGCAGGGGTGGAGTCAACTATTCTATTACAGATTCAGCCTAACCCAGTAGATTTGGTACAAACATTATAGGAGTATTTATTTTAAGGAATTCATTAAATATATCCAAATTAATAATTTAGAACCCAATGACTTAAAAAAATTACAATCCCGATCCCACACGATTCAAATCTTGACTTCACCAACATAGTGAGATTTTGTAAGATCACTTACCACACAAGAGGTAAGTTAACTAAACAATCTAATTCACCACAATTTAGAAAATTTTACGTACACGCTAAATATAATATTTAAGCAATAAGGATAAAAACTTGTTCATTTCAATGGTAGCTTATCATGTTAAATAGTATAAATTATAATGAGGCGAAAATATATACTATATTAACTAACTATAGTTAAATGAGGAAAGTTCATGTAAACACCCGTGGTAATTTTTTGAGAAATTTTCACAAATCACTATTATTTAGTGGTCATTAGCTAGCTGTAGCTACCATTTAATATATTACTTCCTATAGCTATGTTTTCATCAGTTTTGCTAGAGTGTATTCGATGTATTTAAGTTATTGTATTCATGAATACAATAGCAAACTTCGGTATGAAACAAGGGAGTACAACTAGGCACTTATTGCATTCGACTGCATTCACGATATGTATTTGTGAATACGGTAACATAAATAGCCTAAATCGTAGTCTATTTAGCTGTTTTTAAACGGAAAGTGAATCAATTAACACAAATAGGCTCATAATATAACTCAACAAACTCAATTATAAATCTGAATACATAAATACATTTGAATACATAAATTATATTAATTAAAAAAATATATGAATACATTCATGGAATATAGCGAGACAGTGAATACAAAAAATACATGGAATACAACGAGATACATTGAAATACAATGAAAAAAAGAGACAATGAATAGAATGAAATACGTAGAATACATCGAGATACATTGAAATACAATGAAAAAAAAAGGTAACAGACTCTTCAAGTTGCTCAGCCCCAAACTCCGTCATCTTTGTTCAAGAATAACTCTAATGTCGTCTCGTCGATAGCAGATTTCGAACCTCCATTGTCAGCCCCAATTTACCCTACGTCAGATTTCGACATTGATAGGAAACATAAGGAATTGATTTCTAAACAGACTCTTCATCCACTAAACATAGCTATACGATATTTTTATTGTCAGCCCCAATTTACCTTTCAATAGCAGATTTTGAACCTCCATTTTTCTCTCTAGGGCTTGATTTCGACACTGATTCAGAACCCTAGACCACTGACAATGAAAATTTCGTTCGACAATGGAGATGAATTAGTGGAGAATCATGGTTGTATTTATGGAAAAAGACTGGCGTTGAGAGAGAGCGGGTGGAGAAAAATCTGAAAGAATGATAGAGAAAAATAATACAAAGCGTATTTTATGGCTTAAGAGGAGAAGATGACCATAAATAGATATTTGATTATAAAATCAAAAGGTAGCTATAAAATATAATTTTTTAAAAAGATATTTATTTAAAATAAATAAGATATCAACCTTTGCTACCGAGAAAAAAATTCCTAATTTTTTTACCTAAGTGTATGGCACATATATTTTTTTTTACATAAAACGTACTATCACTTAATTTTAATTTAATCATTACTCCAACATATATTCTTTCTTCAATTATAACCTAACCTGTAAAACTATGATGTGGCGCATGTAGCAAGTTCTTTTTCCCTTATAACTTTCTCCATTTCTAAACTATTCCCGTCACTCTTTAGCGAACGAACTAGAAAAAGTATAAACCCTAACGAGTAGGGAAAAACCCTAGAAAGTTCCACTTGTACCCAGGCTTCTGCTTCTTCGGCCATTTGCTAACTCACCAAGTAGCCTACTTTCTCGCTCAATTGATCTCTCTCGCCATCAACAATGGCGTCTATGATGGTAAGCCTCGATACTTTTCGACTGTATTAATGCTCATTCTAATTACTGAAAGAATAAAAGGCTCCGACTAGTGCCGGGTAATGCGAGAAATGTAGGCAACTTTCATTTTAAAGTACAAATCTGAGTAGAGCTGTTGTGGAAGTGGAAGTTCCACAAGTTGTAACAAGGTGAGTGGAAGTTGTGGATCTAGGATATTAAGTACGTGTCTGTGTGTGTAAACAAAGACAGAGACAGGTGACGAAAGGCTGTCGATGTGGCAGGGGAGGTTGCCAACTATGTCAATCCACCCATAATTGTAAATATTGATGTTTTTTTTCATCATTTTGATCGGAACAGCTGAACATTTGTTGCGTTTGTTCTTTAGTTTGTCCGCAGTAAATTCAGATTAATGATGATTAATGTGGTAGGTTCGTTACCATGAGAATATACAAAATGTTTATGGTGAAGGTTTTGTTTTACATTTTGAAGGTTAGGCTTTTGTGAATATGACTACTGTAGGATCGGCATTAATTAGAATGTGCAGACTTCTGTTTCCAGGTTGTTCTACTGTTACTACTTTGTCTTAGAAGACAATTTTTATCAGTATTGGAATGAAATGGGTCCAAGTAGATGGGAATTTATATAGAGGATTCGATAGCCAACTCCAACTAATACGGAAATGGGGCACAATTAATTGGTTGATTGGATATACCTATGTGTTACTGGTGTATTTTTTCGTTTATTGTTCCCTTTTTTCTTCTAAATCATTTTCTGATCTGGTGTTGTGGCTTTTGAAATAACAGCAACCTCAGATCATATTGCTGAAGGAAGGGACTGATACGTCCCAAGGGAAGGCACAGTTGGTGAGCAACATAAATGCTTGTATGGCTGTGGCTGATGTGGTGCGTACCACCCTTGGTCCTAGGGGTATGGACAAGCTGATCCACGACGAGAAGGGAAACACGACTATTTCGAATGATGGTGCCACTATAATGAAGCTTCTAGACATAATACATCCCGCTGCAAAAATACTTGTTGACATCGCCAAGTCCCAAGACTCTGAGGTATGCTGTAATTTGTAATTTTGCTGCCTCAGAACTCATGCTATTTGTTGCTATTATAACATCAGTTGAATAGTGTAGTTCTGAAATTCAAAGTTGATTGCAGTGCTTTTACTTCAAATGTACATAGAGATGTGGCTCATAAGTTGGACTGTATGTGCAGTGTAGAACTTATGAGCTCGGGAAATTTGATGATTGTACTGCACAATGTGTGTTGGCAGTTAGTTTTATGGTCGTCATCCTGAATACATGCTCTTTTAGAAGATAAAGTTGGTAGAAGAATTTTGAGCCGGAGAGCTGGAATATGGTAAGCTGCGAAGGATGCTTGTTAAGTACTTATCACCCCGAAAAAAATGAAGAAAGAAAGTGAATGGTTTGTTAAGTTCTAGAATATCTATTAGCATTTCTTTTCTTTAGATCACGTGGATTTTCCTTGGAAGCAAATTTTAGGAATTGCGGACCTGATCTTATGTTTTGAGCCACTTTGAATAAGATGCAGTAAACTGGTCTTCTTTAATTGTGTCAGCTGGTTCTTCTGTCAAGGTAATAAAGAAAAGTGGGTCTGAAAATAGGTTGCCACATATTTCCTAGCAAAACAATTTTGAAGTGAGAGCTTTGGTATAAGGGAGAATGACTTGATTGCCTGTTTTGAATAATTCCTTTGAATGTCGAGTTCCTACATCAAATGACCTTAAATAACCACAACATGGGCCCATTGCATAGTCTTGGGGCCTGGTGACAAAAGTATTTCACCTAGTTTGGCTGATTGCAACTTTAGATTCATGCAGACATATGGAAACTTAGTGTTGGTTTGACATCTAAATTGTCAATTTACATGGATATGAAAGCAGGTGGGCATCAGTGTAGTAAGTCATTTTTTGGGGGATATTGAAAAGTTTGCGAGCACGGGTTCACGTGAAAGTAGTGGAGTAGTGGACATGTCTTACATGGCATATGATATCATCTGTGTTGTTATTATGTTGTTTCATCTTAGTGGGTACACGCACTTCTTTTGCTGATAATACATGAAATGTAAAGAAAGCAGCTTCGTTGTATCATTATCTGGCCAACTGATCACACTCAATGCCAGAGGAGGACAGAAGCATTTCATTTTACAGTTTTAGAGTATTAACAAGTATTAGGAGGAAAAGAAAGAGATAAAAGAAAGAAAATGGTGTGCATTATATGGAATTTTGTTGGGCATTGGCTTCCAAGCTGATAATCTAGGTGGCAACTATAGGTTGAAATGTCATAAAGAAAAGGAAGCTGCTCTGAAAATGATTAAAAGTGCATTATAACAAGAGGGAAAAAGGTGAAGTGATGGTAGAAAAATATTATGAAGTTCACCTAGGCTTCTTTGTCCTAACCTCACAATCAAAGTAGCTTTTAGCTTAAAGAAGCTTAGAGAGTAGTAAATGTTATAAACTCATCTTTTTATACTATGGTGATCATATCTCTCGGCCTTTTGATTAAGACCGAGGGGAATATCTTATAACCATAGTGCTCTTTGTTTGATCCAGTCGAATGCAGCTTGTCCACAAATGAGTCAGGTCTTGTAAAAATTTGGAGAATAGGACAGTAAACTAACACTTGAAGATATAGTATTGCAATTGATTATATGATGTAAATCCACAACTTGTTGATTTGGTCTTTTGACTGAATGGAATCCATAATAAGCTGTGTTATAAGATTGTTTTATTGTTGCATGATCGTTTAGTTCGAGTTATTTCTGTATTTTTGAATTGACCTGAACAACATATACGGATCCCCCCACCCCTTCTTCATTTCTAGTGCCTTGTCGATGTCTGCAGGTTGGTGATGGAACCACTACAGTAGTTCTGCTTGCAGGAGAATTTTTGAAGGAAGCCAAGCCTTTTATTGAAGAGGGTGTCCACCCTCAAAATCTTATTCGCAGTTATCGAACTGCTTCTAATATGGTAGATTTTTCCTCCTCCTGTTTGCTCATTCCTCTGTCTTTCTGCTTTTGCTCTGTTCACTGTCCCAGATGGTTTAGTCATCATAGTTCATTGAGTAATTTGATATTGATTATATAGGCAATAGAGAAGGTAAAAGAATTGGCTGTTAGCATTGAGGGAAAAAGTTTGGAAGAAAAGAAAACTCTGCTTGCAAAGTGTGCTGCTACGACTCTGTCGTCGAAGCTTATTGGAGGTGAAAAGGAATTCTTTGCACCCATGGTTGTGGATGCCGTTCTTTCAATCGGAAATGATGATAGGCTGAACATGATTGGAATTAAGAAGGTGCACAATCTTGCAACTGAATTTTTTTTTCTTTTATAAGGCTTTGATTGCTTAATTTCTGACTTTGTGGCGGTGGCCTGTTGGTTCATTTTTTTGGTCAGAGAGTTAACTGGTACTTTCATAAAGTATCAGAGTTCAGAGAACATTTTAGAGCTTATATTGATCTGAGTATCCATCTGAATGTTGTAATGTTGTTCATGGGTTGTTTAATCTATAAGCTATGAATTTATAGAAATATTTTGGTGCAGCTCCTTTTCTATTTAAAGTACTGTTTCCCTGCTCTTTTAGTTTTCATACTTTCTGTAACAGGTTATCTGATTTTCATCAGATCAAGAGGCTAATAAGATTTCTGTTAAAAGTTTTACGCTCTGAACCCCCTTTGAATTGTTAGGCCAGGATTTAGGGTCCCGTGTCTTCCCTTATCTTCCCCTCTTTTTTCCTCCCAAGCCAGAGGGTTTACAAGCTTAATTGTTTACTCCATTTAACTTGTTGATAAAAATGTGTAATGGGCTAGTTACCCCTTTTGGCTGCTCTCTGTAGTAATAAAGTTGCTGAAACATTGTGGCAAACCTAAGTTGAGTTGTTACAGCTAAACATTGCTATAAAGGGTGAGCTCATATCCCCTTCACTCTCCCTGAAAATAAAGGAATCCTAGTAGAGAAGGAAAAACAGTCTTATTAGAGGCTCGTTTGAGGCGCGCTTAAGTGCTGAAGCTAAGTTAAAACCAAAACCATGCACTTCACCTCGCTTAGGTGGCACTTTAGTTTAGGCACTGAGGTAGTTAAGACGTGCACCTCATCGCTCATGAGCTCAGTCTTTAAGATGGTAGTATTAGACATTATATATAGTTGGTAAACTGATTACATTAATTGTTTAAGAATGTTGTGAACAAATATTTAGTGATTAGGGTTGGCGAATCAAAATTTTTGATGAGAAAACAAAAAAAAACATCTTTCAGCGAGATCCAAAATTTAAAATTGTTTTTAACTTGATTGACATGGTTTTTACTTCATATATTTCACTTAATTATAGTTGTTTTTTTGTGTTGTTGTTATTTCTCTTGCACTACATATATATGTTATCTTTCTTCATTAGTGCCTTTATTCATTAAAGCTCATACTTTAGTTTCACTTTTCGCTTAAATCCCGCAATAAAGTTAGCGTTTTACCTTTTACGCACTTTTCAATTCTCTTGTGGGAAAATAACAAAAGATTTGCAATATGCTAGACGTATGGTTGTAGCCCAGACTGCTTTAGTGGATAATTGGAGCATTAAATTAGAGAATATCATTGAATCTAACTTATTTATCAAAAAAAAAAGGTTCACCAATAAAAAAGAAAGTAGAAAAATGTTCGACAATGTTGTCCTATGTTGCACTGCTTTTGCCAATATCTTTATTCTTTAGCTTTGATATGTGTTAGGGGGTGGAAGAAAAAAGTGATGATTTATTCTTTGAGTAAATTGAAATAGACCTCTGAGCAAATAAAGAGCATATATGCTGTTGCATTACAACTTAATTAGAGACTACAGAAATTTTACTATCGACTCTACAATCTCATTTAATATTTTTCTGACCTTTTCCTTTTCTCCATTTTGTTGATGTGTAGGTGCCTGGAGGTAATATGCGCGATTCTTTCCTTGTAAATGGTGTTGCCTTTAAGAAGACATTCTCCTATGCTGGTTTTGAACAGCAGCCAAAGAAGTTTGTGGACCCCAAGATACTTTTACTGAACATAGAGTTAGAGCTAAAATCAGAAAAGGAAAATGCAGAGATAAGGTAGTATGTTTCAGACATACTTCTGATTTTGTTTGAGAAGAAATGTGTAGTTTCTCCAATTTAATATTTTCTTTCATAAGTTTCACTGTTCTGTATGTGCTTACTCCACTTCATCTTCTGTATAGGCTTTCAGATCCAGCACAATATCAGTCAATTGTTGATGCAGAGTGGAATATCATTTATGACAAGTTGGATAAATGTGTAAAGAGTGGGGCCAAAGTTGTGTTGTCTCGACTTGCTATTGGGGATCTGGCCACACAGGTTGGATACAAACTTGCCTTACAGTCCATTGCTTTAATTAATGATCTTATCTTCATATGGATTCTTCAGAGAGCTAGAATTTAGAGAGTTAAGTAAATGCAGTAAATGTTGCAGCCTGATCTTTGGAGAGATATAGTCATGCTGATTTTTCTTGAGCATGGAAGTTTATTACTTTATTCCATAATATCAAAGATTTTGAAAGATGCAGATATGCTTAATGAACAAAGATCGAGTATGTGCCTCCCTCAACATTCTTTTTTTTTCCTCTTTTTTTTCTTGACTCATTGGGCCTTCCTCACCTCTTAATTTTGGCTGGAGAGGGAGGTTTCAGTAATTTGACGACAAGCCAAATTATCTAGAAATTGACAGAGTTTCCGTGAGGGAAAGTAGAAACTATAGTATCTCCATCTGGTGCTTTCCATTTAATTGATAAAATTCTTATAAACTGTTGAAGTTTTGATCAGAAAAAGAGAGTTTTCCTTGATGCATAATTACTGAACTCCAAGTTTTTGACATGACTTGTTTTCCTGCTGGTTGCTGCAAAGAGATGTAAAGAAGAGTTAAATGTACTTTTGGTTAGCGCTATCATCTGATTAAGGCTACATTTTCTACATTTCTGCCAGAACCATCTCACTGACGCTTATTTTGGCTATAGGAGATTATTGTGAAGATTATGACTAATATTCTTTATGTCTTTTATGTGCCCAGTATTTTGCAGATCGGGATATATTTTGTGCTGGTCGTGTCGCTGAAGAGGATCTGCAGCGGGTAGCAGCTGCTACTGGGGGAACAGTACAGACAACTGTGAACAATGTCATTGATGAGGTTTTGCCCTTGTACCTGTTACCTATAATCTTACTGTGACAATTGTAGACACCTCCCATAACATGGTTGAATTATATTAGATTTTGGTCAATAACTTTTACTTCAACCAATTGGATTATTATCTAGGTTCTTGGCTCTTGTGAGCTTTTTGAGGAGAAGCAAGTTGGAAATGAGAGATTCAATATATTCAGTGGATGTCCCTCGGGCAAGACCGCCACTATTGTCCTTCGTGGTGGAGCAGATCAGGTTTTTGATCACTTCAGTTATGCATACGCCTATTATTTGATTCTTTGCTCCTAATTTTCTTTTCAATGATCTGTAGTTCATAGAGGAATCCGAGAGAAGCTTGCATGATGCTATTATGATTGTTAGAAGGGCTTTGAAAAACTCTACGGTCGTTCCCGGAGGTGGTGCTATAGATGTATGAACGTTCTGTAACCTCCTGGAAAGATTTCATTGTGATAATAATTATACCTTATTGATTGAGAAAGCCCTTGGATGCAGATGGAAATAAGCCGTTTCTTGAGGCACCATGCTCGAACAATTCAAGGAAAATCTCAGCTCTTTATAAACTCTTATGCAAAAGCTCTTGAGGTAGGGATTCTTCTTTCATTTCGCTTTGACAGAGATATTATGTTCTATTTTTCCTAGAATTAGCTAAATGTATTTGTATGTGCTATTTGAATGTATTTCCAATGTCTGGAATTTTCGCTCTTATATACTTCACTTTTGTGATAAGGTTCCAACATCAATTGCTAGCTTTGTCAAGTTACCCTGGAGAACAGGAGAAATAGATACACCACTGATAACACAAAAATAATGCAGAAATAAATGCTAGTGGTCTTTTCAGTCAGAGAAATGCAAGGGTGATTGTTACATGCTAGAAACTCCGATAATAAGAACTAGATGTTAGTGGTCTTTTCATTCAGAAAGAAATGCTAGGATTTATTTTCAGTCTGGTAAATGCCAGAAGCCCTGACAATGCAGCATGGTAAAAGCTGCTTTTTCTTTTGTCTGTGGTCCAAGACTTGCAGGAATTTTGAATCAGTGCACGGTGGGATGTAAAGGGCAGTTTGAGGGATTTTAATTGTATTATCCTTCGGTGCCACTTTTATTCTCTTGGAGGTCTTCTGATTGGTGCTTTCCCTTTATCATAAGATCACTTTCTTCTACTTTGGTATATGTTGGCACGCTAGTCTACTTTGATCATTGGTTGTGTCCTAGACCTTCTTGCATTTGTCTAACTTGATAATTGGTTTTATATAGATCTGCTTTTAATGAGAATCTTTGTTGGTCAGATATATTTTTACCAAAGAATTGTCTTGTTTGATTCCAAAAGAAGCCTATTGTTTCTTGCTGTAAAAACTCTTTTAAGCTATTGATATTGCTCCTCCTATGTGGTAAGATATTTGTCTGTATTATCATTCGTAGTTAGCTTGGGCTGCCGATGCTAGTAGGTCTTTGAGATAGTCTGTGGTGTTCTTTTTGTGGATAATTTCTTGATATTGCTTACTGTGAGGTTGTATGGAATTTTTTGATTTTGAAATGTATCTCCTATTCCTTATAGAGCACGTGTTCAATTCTGTGATACCTTATTAATTAGTTAAATTCTGTGATACCTTATTAATTAGTTAAATTCTGTGATACCTTATTAATTAGTTAAATTCTGTGATACCTTATTAATTAGTTAAATTCTGTGATACCTTATTAATTAGTTAAATTCTGTGATACCTTATTAATTAGTTAAATTCTGTGATACCTTATTAATTAGTTAAATTCTGTGATACCTTATTAATTAGTTAAATTCTGTGATACCTTATTAATTAGTTCTGGCATAATGCAGATTATTCCCCGTCAGCTATGTGATAATGCTGGTTTTGATGCAACTGATGTGCTGAATAAGCTCCGACAAAAACATGCTCTTCCATCTGGTATGCCTACCAATATTTTGGGGGCTATATAACAACAGTAGCTTATTGAAAAAGTACTAGTAGGAACAGTATATTTTTTATGTTTCCAAGCGTACTAGCCATTGTTACGAGAGTTGATAGTTTTTTCTGGAATGGCTTCTGGTAAAATTTTGGGGGTTCTTTTCTTAGAGTACTCAATGTAAATGATTTTGTCCAAAAAAGAAAGAAAAAAGCATACTCCTTAATGATATTGCACTATGCTGGACAGGTGAGGGTGCACCTTATGGAGTCGACATCAATACTGGTGGCATTGCCGATGCATTTGCCAACTTTGTTTGGGAGCCAGCAGTCGTGAAGGTTAGTTACATTCACTGTTTTTTGTTGATAAATTTAGTTTAGCTTGTTATTAATCAACCACTCATCTTTTGGCACTTGTTTTTACTGAAGCATCAGTTTTTAAAATGAAAATTATTTTTTCAATATGCTTAACAACAACAACAAACCGAGTAGTTCCCACAAGTGGGTCCCAAGTTATTCTTGTTTCTTAAAAATACTTTATGATTTCTACTTTGTCCAGATAAATGCCATTAATGCAGCCACAGAAGCAGCATGCCTCATTCTGAGTGTGGATGAGACAGTGAAGAATCCTAAGGTAATTTCGACTTTGTGAAACCACTCTCTCCCCAGTTTGTCTACCACTATGGACATAATAGACGGTGCATATTAGGGTTTTCCAGTCTCCCTTTTTTCTGCTTTGTTAAATCTAAAAGTTGTTAAGTTGCTTTAAGAATCAGAACAAAATTCACAACTTCCAACGTTGGAGGAATTTTTCTGCCTTCCCTTGTCGCTCAGCAATTCTTGCTGGAAACAAATACCCTAGTAAATAGTAATAATGCAGTAGCTCTTCTGAATTTTATTGATTACGGGGGGGGACTTAAGATCCTTTTGGCCAAACCTTAATGGCAAGGTTGTTAGTTGGTACTTTGCATTTTAGGGCTCGGCAGGTGTCAGAAAGATGTGGATGGAGAGAAACTCTATATGGTGCCATTTAGCCTTAAGCCGACTAAGTCAAAGCAGTCCTGTCACTGTGTCTTGCAGTCTGAGCTAGACGAGAAGCGACTGTAATGTGTAAAGGTGTTTTTGAGTGCTCCTACATCTCTCCACTTCTTTTTTTGATAACTTAGAAACCCTCGAGGGAAAGTTGGCGTATGGTTCGAAACTTGGTGGATAATGAGCTTGGTCCTTACGGTTTTCCTCGTAAATACCAGGCTTTTGTCTGCGGCAGGGTTTGAACTCGTAGCATGCACCTAACTTGCGAATCATGCGCTGCTCTACCACTAACATGCAGTGTCTACCTCTGCTGTGGTCTAAGAATCTCTGGGTCTAAAAAAAATCAAATTAGTGTAAGCTAGTCCTCTTCAAGCTGACAATCTGCCTTTATGCATTTTTTGTGTTGTTTTAGGTGGAGTTTAGTGGATTACTTTTATGTTTTTATCTTTGCTCATCAGATTTTCTTTTTTGCTTGTGATGTGTTCATCGTACTTGTATGTGTCCTTGCTATGCTAGAAGTAATTCCTATTTCCTGACATTGCAGTCTGAGAGTGCTCAAGGAGATGCTGCTGCAAGCGCTATGGGTGGTAGAGGGCGTGGAGGTGGTCGTGGCCGTGGAATGAGGCGGCGATAGATTTCACAAGTTCCTTGCAGATTTTGCTATGATTTTCATTTAGACTTTTTTGCATTGTTCACTCCTGCTGAGATGAAATCGAAAGGAATGCAAGGAAAAGAAAGGTGGGAAGCAAGGGGGTTGACCCCTTGATGGTACGCCATCTTTGTATGTGATGTGATTCCCAAAATTGGTCTCTAAATTCTGGCTGATGAGTTTATTTTTATTTGTGAACTAATTTCCCGGTTTTGCAACTGTCATATTTCCGTTGGCTGCTAATGTAATGTATTTCTAGTTGTCTCCCCTGTCGTATTGAAATCAGTGCAGAACTCCCTTGTAAGCCAATGGAGAAAAATGCATCCTTGACCGAAATGTTAAAATTTGGAAATTGTTTCTTTTGTAGTTGCCGAAAGAGATCAAAGCACTATTATGTTAGTGATCTGGCACATCCTGAGAACTAAAGCATCTCCGCTGTCAGTTTTTCAATGTGCGAAGCCTGCTGGTGGATATATGCAGAATTCCTTTGAGGAATAACCTCCATCTGATCGTGAAAGGTTCACAGTTATACTAAATAAGAAGGTTTAAAACTAACAGCTTAAAGACGGCAAATTCAAAAATGAAATACGATCAATGCAACTCCAGACAGCTATTGCTGCAACTTAGAGCATTGTCTAATTCCAATGGCATGTATAGGATAATAGGAAAAGAAGCCCATACGGCAAACGGGATTTTGCAAGTAACTATGAAATAAATTAGTAGAAAGTGGTAAATCGATCTTTGTTTGAAAAATTAGAGATGTTACCTTAATATGTGGGAGTATCATAGAGCCATTCGGTCTAAAATTGGAAACAGAAGGATTGTGCATATTTTCAAGTTATGTTACTCTTCATACCACGTTCCAGCAAACCAATTTACTGTTTAAGTTCAAAAAAACTTCGAAGTATGATACAGCATCCTACATTGAGCTAGCTTGCAACTCCTTTAATATCTTTGACGGACCATATAGCGTTCAGAAGTATCCATTCACAAGGTAAAAATAGCACGGTATAGTCAGTTTTCGGACTGGTCATTCAAAAATAGCCAGCGTTTACCAAGTCCATAAAAAATAGCCACTATTTTGCTGCAACAGAGACTGGTCCAGCATAATATACTGGAGTTCGGTACACCTGTGTATGAACTCCAGCATATTATGTTGGACCAATATACTTTGCTGGCTCCAGTATAATATACTGGAGCACCGGTGCTCCAAACTCCAGTATATTATGCTGGACCGGTATACTTGCTGGAACTCCAGTATATTATGCTGGAGTTCTAGTGTACTTATACTGGAACTCCATCATATTATGCTAGAGTTCCAGCATACTTATCCTGGAACTCCAGTATAATATGTTGGAGTTCAAGTATACTTATACCGGAACTCCAACATAATATACTGGCGTATTTTTCAGGTTTTGAACAGTGTTTTCGCTCAAATTTATCTTTACATGAAAAGTGGCTAAATTTCGATTACTTTTGAAACTGGGCTATTTTTAAACGACTAATTGTAAATCTGGCTATTTTTGAATTTCTCCCTTCACAAGTTATACCGGTGAAGGGCTTATAGCATTGTGAAGTTCGTGCACGACAAAAGATCCATCACACATACATTGATTTCTGAACTTTATAAAACCTAAGTTTACAAGTCAATTTTTTTGATAAGTTTACAAATCACATATTTTTTTCCATATAAAAGCATACCTAGGGTTGTGCTGGAGTATGTACATGATTTAGACTTTTGAATTTATCTATCTATACTATATTAAAAGTGGGAAGCCCTTAAGTCAAAAATTAAATTATTTTTTTACCCTTTTAAAAATTTAGTTATCCTACTTTTAAAAAAAAATATAATATTTAAATAAGAAGAAGGACAAAATTATTCTGAAGAGTTGTGAATGTTAAACATTCCATATTAATAATGAAAAGTGTCGTTTAACCGTGCCCTTTCTTGCACTCATTTACAAAGAACAAAATTGAAGCGCAACCCTCCTATATATAAAAATCCATCTAACATTTCACTTGTCACAAGACTTGTCTATAAACCCTTTTTGTTATTTTCGACACTAAATTCCTACCACTTCCTTTTGTGCTCTCACTAGGAGAGCTTCTGTTGACAGCAATAACGCTAGGAAATTACCTGATGAATCTTGCCGCTGTTTGTGGCTGAAAATGATACAAAGGGTATGAATTCTTTGTTTTTTATATCCATAATTTTGTGTTGTTTTGAATTATTGACTATTTTTCGTGTGTATTAAATCAAAGTAAATTACATTACTTGGTATCTGTTGAAGTACGACTTTGTATTTTTTCTTTGCATATGCTGGTTTAATTTAGTATCCATAGATTACGACCATAATAATATGTTTCTGGTTCAATTTCTTTCCTTGGTCAATTTTGGAGATTAAGAAAGAGAGATAAGTATGATCTCCTTATGTTTTTTCCAATTATTTGTTTACGTGAAGGAAAAAAATTATCACATTAAAAATGGGAATCCCACAATTTAAAAGTTAAATTATTAAAATCGTTGATATTCACATAAATATCTTACTTATAAAAAAAATCTTAAAAGTCCAAAATGATGAGCTGTAACCGTTGGCATAATTTAGCATAAAATGGATGGCTATTGGCAAATATGTCATACGCGCGCTGTAACTTTGTCAAGGATGTTATGATATTATAAAAGTCACACATGCCATTTCTCCAAAGGCGCCGAATTAGAAACGATTAGTTTTGGAAGAGGCATTTATGTTCCTATATCATTTTCTAGGCAAGGACAACTCTAATTTCATCCATGAAAAATACGAAAATGGCTTTCAATTGCGCATAATTTCCCTTTAAGCAACTGAAGTACAAATGTGGAGAGAAATACTATCTTTAGAATACTTAAAACTCCTCCAATATTATACATAGGGACAAGGACGTTGCGGTAAGTCTCTAACATGGTTTTCCTTTTCTTCTTTTCTTTCATTTTTTTTAATTTCTTCTCTTAGAACTATGGAAAGTAGAAAGCACATCAAAGAAGGATGGGAAGTTCGCGTGGCTAAAGAGACATCATCAAAGTGTTGAATCAAAGAAAATGCACAACAGATAAGGAAACAAAGAACTTTATTGTGTTAGAACGGAGGAACCATATAAAATTATGCAAGAAAATGCTTGAAACAATTCCGAATTGGCAATTGCCTTTTGTTGGAAATTAAATCAAGATTAGTTAGTATTCCTAAGTTGTCTAGGATTTGATATTTGGTAGTTTATTTAATTCATGTCTAGTTAGGTTTTGTTTACCAATTTTATATTGGAATAGGTTTTTGTTTTGTAGTATTATAAATAGGGATGCTACTACATATTTTCTATTGTGGAGAGGTAGCTACGACGTAGAGAGATTCAAGAGTTTATGAGTTGTGAAAAACCCTCCTACCAAGTTCTCTCCCTAGTTTAATAAATTTTTTCTATATAGCTTTTGCTAAATTTTTTGCTTGTGCCTAAATTGTTCTTCGGGGTATTTCAATCCTTCAAATTGGTATCAGAGCCTGTGTGAGATTCTGTCAGAGCCGATAGGAGAACTAAAAAAAAATAAAAAAAATATGGATAGTCTGTTACCCAATTGTCCCGTTTTTGTGTTTGATGACAAAAGTAATTTCGAAACTTGGTATCAACAGATGAAGATTTTTTTAAGGCTATTGGATTATGGTCCACCATCAATGAAGGATTTGAGGAACCTCCAGAAGGCACAACACTGACGGGTGATGCAGTTATGCAATTGGAGAAGAAGAGAAAAGATTAGGGAAAAGGGTCAAAATTGCCCTTCTACTAGTTTATTGGTTCCTTGTGCCACCCGTTACACTTTTCGACCATTCTCGTCCCTACCGTTAACAAAGTTTGCAAAATTATCCCTAACCCTAACGTCCCTCCACTGTGGCAGCTGACTCCTCTAATATTTTGTCCATGTCAGCTGCCATGTCAGCAGGTCCCACCAAATAAAATGCCATGTCAGCATTGACCTCTCACTTAAACTGTCAACTGGACAAGGTCAACCCAAATTCTAATGACCCGTACCCATTTCCTTGACCCAACTATCACAAATAAATAGGTAGAATCTGAAATTAAGGGGACTAAAAAGAACAAATGAATTGGTAAAATCTGGAAGTAAGAGGACTAAAAGGATGGATTTTATGTTTGGTAAAATTGGCTAACGAAATGGATGATTTAGTTAAATCAATTTTTTTTAGAAATTGCTGAGGAACGAAGAGGTCGTCGAATCAGTGCAGTTGAAGAAATCGCAAGACTCACCGCCTGATGATTTCTCACTCCTCTTAGATCCTCCACGGCTGAGCCACCGCCATCGCTGCCATCGACCGATAATCTTGAAAACACTCAAGCCCAAGAGATCTTCATATGCTTGGATGTTGATTTTTCAAGTCAATTTTTTGTACCAACATCGTGAAAAGACTTAATCTTGAACTGGTGTTTTCTTATTTTTTCTAATCCATTTTACAGATTGGGAGTATTTAAATTTAATTAGGAGGAAAAAATCTAAAACCCCGTGAGTAAAATAAGCCCAAAAGATCCCCATTTGCTTGTAAATTGATAGACTTTCTTTGTACGAAAATCTTGAAAAGATCCAATCTTGAAGTGGGGTTTTGTTTTCTTAGTCTTTTGAGATCAATTTTTACAGATTTGGGAGATTATAGGTGAAGAATCCAAACTTCAAATTCAAAGTGAAGAGGAAACATGAAGAAGGAGAAAAGAGACGAAGAGGGGAGCCAATACTATGGAGGTTAGTTCTGCCCTCTGAAAATTTTTCGGTGAAATGCCATGGTTTCCGGCGATTTTGGTATGAGGTGAGGGAGAGAAGATGAGAGAAAGGGTGGAGAGGTGAGGAGTGGGGGGTCATTTATGTTAGGGTTTTAATTTGGTGGGGTCGATGACATGGCAGCTGACTTGGCAGCTGGCATGGACAAAATATTATAGAGGTCAGCTGCCACATTGGAGGGACATTAAGGTTAGGGGTAATTTTACAAACTTTGTTAACGGTAGGGACGAGAATGGCCGAAAAGTGTAACGGGTGGCACAAGGAACGAATAAACAATAGTAGAGGGACAATTTTGACCCTTTTCCCTTTAGATTATAAGGCACGCTACTATCTCGCCATAAAGGTTGACTTGTATGTATCTAAAAAATATTTACATGCAAAGTCATCAAAGGAGGCTTGGACAATCTTGGTGAAGGCACATCGAAAAGTTGTTGACATAAGGAAAGAGAAACTGCAAGAGTTTAGGAGTCAATTTGAGTTGGCTCGTATGAAACCAACAGACTCTATTAAAGAATTCATTGCAAGAATTACTGAAATAGTCAATGGTCT